TGGCTGATAGATGCAGTGTTTTTCTGTGTATTATGAAATTTATCATACCCAAACACTCAGCTATATTTCCAGTTCTCCTCTTCCTGAGCATGTGGTAGGATTACACAGGGCCAGTGGATTGTGGGTGGATGTGAAACACACCTCTACTGGGTCAGAGCATTTAACTGCTGGTAGGAGATGCTCTAGTGCAGTGGTTTTCAACCTTCCTAATGCTGCGACCCTTCAATACAGCTCCTCATGTTGTGGTGACCCCCAATCTCATTGTTACAAATTGAACATAATTAAAGCATAGTGATTAATCACAAAAACAGTATGTAATTATATATGTGTTTTCCGATGGTCTTAGGCGGTCCCTGTAAAAGGGGTCGCGACCCACAGGTTGAGAACCGCTGCTCTAGTGTGTTCTTCCCAAGGCATACCAACTGGTGATGCTTGTGATAGTGGAGCCTCCATCAGCCAGGTCTCTGAGGAGACCGACATGGAACAGAGCCCCCTGGAAATCTACAATGGGGGTGTAGCATGAGAAATTCCCTTAATATCACCCTTATTCAGGATGGAGGAATAAGGAAACCAGCACAGGCTCTGGGGAAAGAGGGGGTCATGACAGACACTGACCTGAAGGTTGAACATTTCCACTCTGCAGGGTGTGTAAGCCTGATTTCTGGTCATCACTCCCAGAGATGTCGAGCCCAACAGGTACTTATGGCTGAAGACAAATCCTTTGATCTGGAGCCTCAGTCACAAGTTGCTAGTGCTGGGCAGCCCCCTGCACCTTTACATGCATGTTTCCTCGGAGCTACACAGCATCCCCATTTCTCAAAAGGAAACTGAGTCTCAGAGAGGTCCAGTGACGTGATCACTATCACACAGCCAGTTAGTGCTGAGGCTGGATGCAAAACTACGGTTTTTGAATCTTGATTATCTGTTCAGTGACTGCCCTTGGCACTACTCGCTGTAGGAAGTGCTGAGAGGAAGGAGACAGAGTCCTGCTCACGAGTGCAGTAGAGGAGACAGTACAGAGCACACCATGAACACAGAGGGATGGTGAAGGGCTAAAATAGCATCAGAAGAGAGCAGGTGACTGCAGGGAGCAGGTGGGAGAAGAAAGGAGAGATTAAGCTGGGCTCAGAGGAATGAGCGGGAATGCCCCCACTGGGGAAGGGAGGGAGGGCATGCCTACAAAAGGAAAATTCTTGGGCAAAGATGTAGCACTGGGAAAAAAAACAAAGTCTGCTAAGTAGAGGGTGAGCCCCTTTGTGCCTACACACAGATGCAGTTAAGGAGGGAGAATGGGGGGCAAATCCATCCCTGAAGCACAGGCAGGGCTCCAATGCTGTCCCAGGACACTGGCCTTACAGTCAATCCCAGAGGCAAGGGGCTAGGGGTGATTATATCTTCTGAATGGAAGTCACACTCAGCTTCTATTTCTCCTTTAGACCAGAGGTCACCTGGGCCATACGGCAGCTTTGCTGTTTAACAAGACTGCCTTGGGGACATTTCCGCTTCCTCCTGTGAATACCTGACACTGGCGGTGAGTCCTGCCAGGACAGCAATGAAAGCACCTGGGCGAAGACTGCAGCCTCTGCCCGCCCTCCCTGTATAAACTAGTCAGTGACTGACCACTTGGCGAGATGAGAGCCGGGTCTTCCCTCCTGTGCGACGTCCGAGCCAGTCCCGTCTATCCTAAAAAGCAGTATGGAGGTCAAGGAGGAGCTACTTGGATTGAATCCTGTGGCCAGTGGCTCTGCTGGGATATGCTGTTCTTTCAAAAATCAGCAGAGGGTCTATGATTCCTTAAGGAGCGATGACCAGACACCAGGCTACACACCCTGTGAGTGGAAATGTTCAGCCTTTAAGGCCCAAAGGGAACACTCGGTGAGCACCACCCAGCACCCGCCTGCCTACAGAGCTCATCTCCCCTCGTCCAGGGAAGAGGGAGCCCTCGTGACAGGTGTGGCATCGTTCTGTCCACTTATTTTCTCACTGCTATAGCCCCAGCACCTAAACAATACCGAGCACAGAGTAGCATTCAAAAATGTTCAACAATGAATGAATCTGAAACGATGTGCGTGACTCAGCCATATGAAGTCATGACCTAGAGCAGCAGTTCTTAACCTGTGGGTCACCACCCTTTGGGGAGTCGAACGACCCTTTCACAGGGGTCGCCTAAATACATCCTGCATATCAGATATTTACATGACGATTCATAACAGTAGCAACATTACAGTTATGAAGTAGCAACGAAAATAATTTTATGGTTGGGGGTCACCACAACATGAGGAACTGTATTAAAGGGTCACGGCATTAGGAAGGTTGAGAACCACTGACCTAGAGTTTCCTGTTAACAGCCAAGAACTCTAAATTCTAGCGGAGCTTATCAAACATGAATCCTACTCCACTGTCTCCCGAGCCCACCCTGGGGGGAACCACAAAAGAGCTGAAGGGACCAGAATGTATCTCATCTCCCCTGAGTTGAGTCAGAACTGCAGAGCCGAGAAGGCCAGCTTGCAGACCTTCAGTCTAAGTCTCTCAGTATACAGATGGTGAAACTAAATTCCAGAGGTGGGGCTGACCTGCCCCAGGGCACGTATTGAGGTTGCCTGGCTCCCAGGCCAGACAGCCTTTTCCAACACCTGTGTGGCCCAGATTTGAAAGGAGGGAAAATGAGATGGCTGGGGCCAACGAGACAGCCGTGACAGAATATGTCCTGCTGGGCCTACACGGCCACCATAACATAGAGATGGTCCTGTTTGTGCTCTGCCTGGGCATCTACTCTGTGAACGTGCTGGGGAATGCCCTCCTCATTGGGCTGAACATGCTGAACCCCCGCCTGCAATGCCCCATGTACTTCTTTCTCAGCAACCTCTCTCTCTTGGACATCTGTGGCACATCCTCCTTCGTGCCTTTCATGCTGGTCAACTTCCTGGAAGCCCAAAGGACCATCTCCTTCCCTGGCTGTGCCCTGCAGATGTACCTGACCCTGGCACTGGGCTCCACGGAGTGCGTGCTCTTGGCCGTGATGGCATATGACCGTTATGTGGCTATCTGCCAGCCGCTTAGGTACCCGGAACTCATGAGTGGGCAGACGTGCGTGCGGATGGCAGTGCTGACCTGGGGAACGGGCTTTGCCAACTCATTGCTACAGTCCATTGTCACCTGGAGCCTCCCGTTCTGTGGCCACCATGTCATTAACCACTTCTTCTGTGAGATCTTGGCAGTGCTGAAACTGGCCTGTGGGGACATCTCTCTCAATGCACTGCTCTTAATGGTGACCGTGGCTGTCCTGTCCCTGGCCCCGCTCCTGCTCATCTGCATGTCCTACATTTTCATCCTTAATGCCATCCTTAGGGTGCCCTCTGCTGCAGGCTGGCGCAAAGCCTTCTCCACCTGCTCTGCCCACCTCACAGTGGTAGTGGTTTTCTATGGGACTATCTCCTTCATGTACTTTAAGCCCAAGGCCAAAGACCCTGACTTGGATAAGATTATTGCATTGTTCTATGGGGTCGTGACACCCTCACTGAACCCCATCATCTATAGCCTGAGAAATGCAGAGGTAAAAGCTGCTGCCATAGCTCTGCTGGGGGGGAATCTGTTCTGCAGGAAAATGTCCCGCTTCTCCTATTCTCAACCTCTATTCGGCAGGAGAGTCTAGGCTAGGTTATAATATGGTGATAACTTCAAAATTTCAGTGGCTTGGGACCACAAAGAGTTATTTCTCGCTCATGCTACAGACGCATTAGAGGTTGGCTGGGGAGGGGTCTGTTCTATCATCACCTTCACCCCTCTGGGACTCAGAGTAATAGAGCAACTACTGGGACATTGCTGGTCACCATGACAATAGGAAAAGAGAAAACGACAAGGCCTGCACTGACTCTTCAAGCTTCCACTCAGAAGTAGCATGCTACTTCCACTTACATGTTAAGTGGCTTCAAGGCGTGTCTGGGTAGCCAAGGTCTGTCTTTGCATGTGGCACAGAAGTGGCAGAGAGCCGCAGGACTACAAGGGGTTACACAGATAGGACCGGAAATCTGCTCCGGCATGACCTACCTGCTCTGCTGACTGAGGGCCGGCCGGAATGATGTCAATCTCAGGGGGTAGGTGCCTATAGACTGAGGTGACCAGAAAGAACATGCTCCCAACATCTTTGCACCACATAAACCTTGGGACGCACCTGTGACTCTTGTGGAAAGAGAAGAAATCCCAACTTGACAAAATATGATCCTTCTGGCACTCAGGCAAAATGGGGCTCAAAACAGAAGTTACATTCTTGTGACAATTCCTTCCCATCTGAGCTTTGTACCTGCTAGTCCAATTTTCTGGGACCTCAGCTTCCCACACAAAGACTCACTCATTCACACACAGACTCACCCACTCACAACTCCCTATTCCCAGCTGTGCAGCCTGACACACTAGGACTGAGCCTCAGACAGTAGCTCCAGCAGTTCATTCAGCTGGGCTCCCATCACCCATGCTGACCTCCTCAGGGCCGCTCTTTGCCTCCCCTCCCCACACATTGGCCCCAGAAAAAAAGGCAGCACAGAACCAGCAAATACTTCATTGGAGACACACCAGACTCCACCTGCATCAACTCAAGATACCAGCCCTAGTCCCAGTCCCATCTGTCCTGCATGTCCCCTCCCAGCACAGCCCAGCACAGATGCTGCTTCTGGGAAGGAGGCCTGAGGCCAGAGTTGCTGAGCTGCTGGAAGATCTGGCAACTCAGTTTCCCCAAAATGGACTCCACTTCCTCAGGAATGATGCCATGTCCTGGGAGGGCTTTGTCTCCCCAGGAAGGAATCCATGTCCTCAGGAGGGGCTCCATGCCCCAGGAGGGACTGCTGGTCCTTAGGGGCTCTGAGGCCCTGCACAGGCTACAGCCCTGAAAGACTCAATGGGTGCAGGATGGCTCCAATCTTCAGGAAGTGTGCCAGGTCCCTGGAAGAGTTCCACGTCAAGGAAGACAACAAGTCCTCAAGAAACACAACTTGTCTCTCATCCCTGGGAAAGCTCCACACGCACTGCCTGGAAAAACCCAGGAAGGGCTCTTTGTGCCCTGGGAAGGGTTCATGTTCCAAGGGCCAGACTCAAAGCCCCTCTCAGCTGGTACAGATACTGCTGACAGGGGCCCCTCCTGGGCCCACAAGGCCCAGCTCCTCCTGCTCGTTGATGCACAGCTGGTAGCCGCAGCCCCGGGCCGGAGCTCCAGGTGGAACCCAGTGGTCAGTCTTGGCACGGGGGGGCAGCAAGAAGCCCACACTGCCAGCGATGAGCATATGCCAAATGCTGTGAATGTAGAAGTAGTTGTCTCGTGTCTCCACAAAAGCATAGAGCAGGATGGCACTGCCTGCAATGAGGCTGCCAGGGCACAGGTAGAAAAGCCAGCGGCGCCATGTGGGTGGATAGCAGTGCCGACGGCGGACGCTGCGTACTGTCTGGAGGAGGCAGAGAAGTGGGGCTCAGGAATGGGAGGCCCTGGAACCCAAGCCAGAGCCGGTCACTCTCAGGCTTCCCCTGAGCCATGGTTGTGACAGGAAGGTACCTCAGACTAGGATGGGCACCGTGAGCACAACAGCGATGGTGAAAGGGTCTTAGCCCGCCTTAAATTGGGGACCAGATATCCAGGCCCTGAACCCAGTCCTGCTAGGATGCCCCACCCACAGCTCTCCCCACCCTTACCCAGGCTGTAGCCAAGATCCCCAGGGCGAAGAGACTGGGTCCAAGCAGGTTCCAGAGTCCATGCCGGTCAAGCTGCAGAGCCATGGACAGCAGCATAGCCCCCAGCAAATACAGCACCTAGAGAAACAGGACTCTAGAGGCTGGGCCAGGACGGAGAGAGGCACTTGGCAATGTCCTCAGGGAGAGGCTGGGAATGAGTTTCAAGTCGACTTTAGCTATGATTGTCCCCCAGGGCCCATTCTGGACTGACCTGCTTGACCACGGGCTGTAAACGAGCCATGGCAATGACAGTGACCCACACGGACATTAAGGAGCCCAGGAAATCACAAAACTGTAGCACATCGTAGTCCATGATGCAGAAAACCACAATGCCTGGCTGGTCGCAGGCATGATAGAACTGGAGAAAGAAATGACAGGCGTTGAGAGAACTGGGGGAGAGGTCCAGGTCTACAAAACAGAAGAAAGAGGCCACAGGGTGGTGATGTGCTGCTGCTGGAGAAGCAGAGGTCAGAAGTCAGACTTGGGAAATGCCCCACTCCCCACTCCTGAGAAAAACAGGGCAGGGAGGCCCGTTCTGCCTCATAAGCTGTATGTTAACTGGCATCCCTGACCTTCAACCTCACCTTCCTAATTTTCCTGCTTCTGGAATGTGCTGTGGAGAACATCAGGCCAGGGAGGTCCAGGTCTTTCAAGCTGAGGCCAATCCTTGCCATTTCCTCATACTTGCTGTGGGTCTCATCTACAATCCTCATCCTCAACCCAAGCTCTGGAGCTAGACTCTAGCCTCCCTAGCATGTCCCAGTAGCACCTGACAGCTCAGACTCTGAGTTTGGCTCACTAACTGGCCCTCTTCATTACCTCCTACCCAATGCCATGGTGGACGCAGTAAGAAAAAAGGCAGTCCCTACAGCCAGGGAGAAGAGCATGGTCTTCACACCATGGGAAACAATATGGGGATGAGACAGTGTCCAGCTCTCCTACACTGTGGGGAACACAGTAAAGAGTTGGGTATTGAGGAGATTCAGAGAGGGGTGCAGGGAACATGTGGTACTGTATTAAGCTATTCCGGGCACCTCAATTAAAGAGTCACGGTCTAGCATCAGCCCCCTTGGTCTGTGGTCCCCATCCCTGTGCATCTCTGGACCATGCTATCATAGCCTCTGACATCCTATGTTCCCTTAATGTGAAAAGGCTACCCAGGAGTTACCTGAGTTCTCTTTGTCCTGGAACTTTTGCTGTCACTTTTCTCTGAACTTCTTACAAAATTTATGTGATCTGAGGATTTATTAAAGCCAAACACTAAGAACATGTATGGTTGTAAGAATATCTTTGGTACAAAGATGATGGGAACACATATCCCTCTGAGGATTTCTGTCATTTGCCTTATAAGCTCACCCAAAGAAAAGATACTAGACAGAGCTCTGAGGAAACAGCGCCAGACCGAGAACAAACACCGCAGCAGCGTGCTCACTCCTCCCATCTCCTGACATAATCCTTGCTCCATCAGGAAGAATGGGTTGTGATAGTGATGGAAGCAGGGTTAAGAAAACGAAGATGCTACATTAAAAGAGAAAGGTTTTGACCTATGATCAAAAGCAACCACTGGAGCTGAGCTTAAAGCATGCCAGCAGATTTTAGGGGATCAAAAACGTTTAAGATCTCTGTGAATCAGTCCTCTGGAAGCCATGGCTTTTGAGGGCATCTCTTGAAAGGAGAAACAAGTTGGTATCGTTTCCAGGGTTGGACTGAACACCAGGATGAACTGAAGCTGGGGCGTGAAGGTTAAGTGCTATGGCATCTAAAGGTGGCTTGTGAAGTGTCTTGCTCCTTGACTAAAGGGACCCTATAGGCACTACTTTCAGCCCAGGCCAGTTTCTTCATCATTCTACTAAAAGGCAATCCTAAGTCACAAGGGCTGTGAATCTCAAAGAGCAGTAGCCTTACAGACCTTGGTGAGGCAGGTCTCCAGGCCCTCCAGGGTATGGCCTTGGGCGTGGGAAGAGGACAGGGACATCCAGTCCACAGCTGAGAAAAGAGAGAGCTGAGCAACATCACAAGTTGTTCCTTCACTGGCAGGAACAGGGTCTCTTGAACTTCTGGGAAGAATGGAAACGGGAGAACCTCGTCTCCTGTTTGAATGAGTTAGAGTTGAGAACAAGTAGGTGGGGACGAGGTCAGGAAGAATAATTTAGGAGGGGAAAGCATTATATCCCGAAGTCTTACATATTTTACATTTTAAGTATTTTACATATTTATATTTTACATTTTTAACTCCTGAAGAACAAACCTAATGTCTGTCCCTATGTTCCAGATAAGAATTGATTGCACTCCTCCCAAGTGTAGACTGTCCTGGATTTGAAGACAGAGAACACTGCAACATGACCAATGGGTCCTTAAATGAAGACTGCTTAGGAACAGAATAAATCTAAACCAAGTAAAGAATGGGAGAAGAGGAGCAACAGAGAACCTACCTGAGAAGACTGGAAAACTAGTAGCTCTACATTTTGGCCCAGGTGGGAAAGAACAGGAGTTATAGCAGGACTTTAGGCAATACCTCAGAGCCAGTATATTTTTCTTGATCTTTTGCTATTGCCTTATTCCAGAAAGTAGAAGCTCTGTATGTGATGCCAGGCACTTTAGGCTCCCTGTGTTTGATCTGCCATTATATCCAGGAAATGAGGAGTCATCCGGAACTGAATATGTAGAGACAATGCCCAGTGTGCTTATGCAAAATGCAGAACACATACGCCCTCCCCCTCATGCTCCAGGCTCCTGATATACTTAGGTTCTCTTACTAATTGTGAAGCACATTAGATCAGCTTGCAGCCAAGAGTGGGCTGGTGGAACAGCTGTTGCTGGAGGATTTGGTGAGCAACAGCATAAGGGCATCTGGCAATAAAAGAAGAGAAACAGTGTCTAATATAAAAATAGAATGAGGCACTGTCAGAGCAGGTCTAAAAAGGGGGGCAGTAAAGCAAAACCGGAATGTGCTCTCCACATGGCATGGATCAGGCTGCTCTTCCTTATCTGTGGAGGAATGTCCAAGGAGGGACCTATGTATGACAGGACCCTCAGTGTCAGGACATCTCCCCGCTTTCTCCTAAGTGATAAGTAGGATTTTTTAAAAATATATTTTTATTGATTTCAGAGAGGAAGGGAGAGAGCAAAAGACATAGAAACATCAATGATGAGAGAGAATCATTGATCGGCTGCCTCCTGCAAGCCCACCACTGGGAATTGAGCCTGCAACCCAGATATATGCCCTCACCAGGAATCAAACCGTGACCTCCTGGTTCATACGTCAACGCTCATCCCCTGAGTCATGCTGGCCAGGCAGTATATATTATTTTTTAATTCGGACCTATGTCTGATCTATAATGCTGAACAAAAGAGATGCCCTTATTGGTTATTGTGATATCTTTGTTGCTAAGACATGAGGAGAGTCTGAGTCCATCTAAGATTTTTTTTGTGGTGCTCATGGGCAGGCACTGTGAGCACACAAGACACCAAGAGCCCAGCGATGAGATGAAACGGTCCCTAGATGCAGAACTTGGTGGAGGGGAGGGAGTCCACATGGAGGTTAAGTCACATTAGCAGACTCACCCTACTTTTCCTGAGAATATCTGTGAGGCACGTTTGTGATATGAATGTGTATGATTATGACAGAATGGGAAGGCACAGAGAAGCGACTGTGGGGATTCTATAATGGGAGGAAATGGGTTTAAAACTAAATTAATCATCATCAAAATATGCTCCTTTGGGCTGGAATTTTATGGACATTGCCACTTCCCATGAGGCCTCAAAACATAGTTGAATCGGTAAAGTTTCTTAGGATTCTAATAGCCAGAGGTTTCTATCAATTACCCAATTATAGATCCCCCTTCCTTCCTAAAGTTCCCATGATAATTCAAGGATGCCATGGCTACTAAATGGGGAGATACCTTTCAGACCATAAGAAGAATGTTCTGAGGTGGTGGAAATCCCCAGTGTGATGCAGAACACGAACACTGTGTTGCTAGCCCTCACATCATGAAAGAACGTGAAGAAACGGATGACTTCCCATGTAGAAACGCAGGTGGAAGTGCAGGTCTCCTGCCCCATGCAGACCTCTCCCGGGGAAGGCACAATCTCACACTGCAGAGCAGACTTACGGGGCCAGCGTAGTGAGGTTAAGGTCCCTGGCCCTCAGGGTGGGCAGGCAGGGCGTGAGACAACTAGAGACCCACAGAGTTTGCAGTGGCTGGCAGTTGGTTATTTTAAGTTGCCAACAGGATGTTCATGGACCCCAATGTGCCTTACAAAAATGACCATATTCTATGCATGCCATGAGATGAAAAGGTAGGGAAGCGCTGCTATAGGAGACAGTGAATTGGAGACATCCTCATATTATAAAGGTACAGACATCCCAAACCCGTGGAGAACACGGGGGAAATGCAGAACCTCACCCACCACATGGATAAGGGCTCGGTGAAGACATTGACGCCAGCACATACCGTGGAGAAGAACATGGTGAAGGTGTAGACAGCAGCTTCCAGAACATACCGGCTCCGAATGGCCAGGACCACGGGCGGCAAAAACATGAGGTTGCTCAGACAGAGCAGGAGTGTGGACAGCAGCTGGAAGCCGTAGGTGAGCGCATCCGCGCTGTCGGTGCAGCCCCAGCCCCGCCACCCTGCGGGCGGGAAGGCACACGGTGGGGACAGGAGGCAAGTCGTGCTGGGGGCCTCTAGCTAAGCCCTGTGCCACTGCCCCGGAGGGTGGTCGCACCCCAGCACCGCCCTCCCGTCCTCTGCACACCCGGCCTCAGTGCCGGTGGCCGCCCCTCCGGTCGCAGGCTCCCGCCCCCAGCGCTCACCGGCCTTGCACTCGCAGGCCGCGTACAGGTAGTTGTGCGTGCGCAGCAGCTTGCACTGGCCGTAGGGCCCGCAGTCGTCCACACACGGCGACAGGAAGGTGCGCAGCCGCACCTCGGC